GATGATTTTGGTTTTGAGCAAGGATTACAAAGCTCAGCAACCCACACTGAAAGTTCTACTTTTCTGGAAGGCAGGATACATTAGCCTGCGCTCAATGCAGTGCTAACACAGGGGAAATAGGTGTGTGGACAGAATACTCCAACAGTCAATGCCTGGGAAAGACTAAGGTCTAAGTGACAGGCTGTGTACAATTCACGAGTGGAAACATATACAGAACACTTGCTGTAATTAAAGTGTCACAGAAATAAACAGTCTCTCAAGGCTGCAACTAAACTGTCATTTCCCGTGATTACAAAGACATCTGTATTATCCAGATAGGAACTGCAGTACTGCTGGATCTATAAGACAGCTATATTAAAATATGAAAAATGGCCTAGAAGCACTGTTTGGGGCTTGAAAAGACTGACCAATTCTGAAGTAACAGCCAGACAAATAAATCTAGCTTTAAGATTTGCTAAAACATACAAAAAATTCTTAATTACACAGACAAGCTTAATACAGTGTAAGACGTGTGCCCCTGCAATTTCATCTGAGTCTTACTTGTGCCATAACCAAAGAGAGAATTCCAAACACAGAAGAGTTTTCTTTCTTTTCTTTCATCCACACAACACTGGGACAAGACAGGGATATAGGAAGGAACAGCAGAGGCAGATAAAAAGCAGAGCAGCATAAAATATAGCATAGCTGCTGAATTTAAGAAATAAATTTTCAATACATGTGATAAATTAAATAAAAATAGAAAATTAAACTATTGCACCAGTTGGGACAAAGGAAGTTTACCATCTTACACCAGACACATAAGCCTGAAAACCTGAAAAATACCTTATGCGGAAACTCATGTTGGGACACATTACATTGAAGTGATTAGCTTTTATAACATCAATGAGTCACTATGCAGGAGATGACTTAGTATTCAGAAAATTGATAGGCTCTCTTGTAACCATACATCAATATTTAACATATATAAATATCAGTTTCAGATGCTAAATCTGAACTTTAAAGTAACAAAGATCAGCAGAGTTTGCCATAGACACAGATAGTATGGAAGGCAAAAGAAAGAGTAGGAATCACTCTAAGGGGGGAAAAAAGGCTGTTTAAGCTGAGGTAGAGTTTAACACAAGGATGTTCTGGGCAAACAGTTCCAGATTTTGCCCAGTCACTTTGCCTGAGCTAACTTCAAGGCAGTTGTCTCCAAAGTGGGGTGCATACAACAATCCTTCGGGGTATAGGAAAAAAATACTTTTTGTACTGTTAGTGAAAAAAACCCAAACAAAACAACAAAAACTGTTTACTTCATCCTTGTCTCACCCTTTTTAATTTATATTCTTGTGTATGTTTTGTAATGTACATAATATATGAGTACAGTAGTACCTGCATAGAATTTATAAATAAATAAGTATCCCTATATTGGGGGAGTGCTTATAGTTTTTTACTGATGGGGTGCACGATCAAATGTCTCACTGCCCCAAGAGACGTTGAATATTCTTTGCAGGATCTTAGAGAACAAAGAAATGTCTGCCTTTGTGAGTTTTGAATACTCCAGCATACAGTTCCTTGACGATTTGGGATCCCTCTCCCATCACATTTTGAATGTTAATGGAATTCAAACTGTTTTCTTCTGTTAGACATGACATGAATGGCACACTTCTTTTGACTGTCCCCCTGCGAGCTGTTATTTTTAAGCATGTAAGAGCTGTTAATTTTAACCACTTTAAGGCCTTAAGTGCCCCACCCTCATGATAAAAATGCACTATTTCTATAGAAGAGTGGAGCCAAAAGCATTGTCCTCTAATGTTCAACAAATCCCAGGGAAAAACATGTCCTAGTGACAGCAAACACTTCTGAAGAAAGCAAATGAAAGCCACAATATGCCTTGTCATTACTACAATGGACGCATATCACTAGGCAATCACTTCATCTGGAGATGCTGAAAGTGTGGTAAAGAACAAGCTGTTCTGAGAATAAAATGGAATAGTCCAGTTGGAAGAGATTTAAAGTGATGATCTAGTCCAACTCTGAGATCACTTCAGGGCTGATCAAAAGTTAAAGCATATTATAAAGGGCATTGTCCAAATGCCTCTTAAATGCTGACAAGAATGGGGCATTGACCACCTTTCTGGAAAGCCTGTTCCAGTGTCTGACTACCCTCTCGGTACAGAAATGTTTCTTAATATCTAGCCTGAAACTTCTTGATCAGCTGTGCATTAGTTTAAACATGTCTGGTTGATGATGAGGTGGTCTACTACAGTTCCACTTTTCTAACCCAATTTGCCACCAGACACCTGCCAGCAAAGTGAGATGTCCAGTCCCCAGATGGGTGGGCATATTCCTGAAAAATCTAATTAAATTGACACACAGAAGAACAAGTTACTCTCTTGTGAATAACTATTTTGATGATAAATTTTCAGCTTCACTCTTGTTCATTGTAGTTTGGGTACTCCAAATTGTGAGACAAAGTTAAGAATACTGAAAATCGTAGAACATTAGGTTTTGCATAGCAGCTGTAAAACAGAATTACTTATAAGTTTCTCCAATCTTCTATATCCACATTTATTTCATCCTTTACAGCAAACTGCCTTATTAAATGTGAATATGGAAAAGTTTCTCTGTAGATTACCTAAAATCCATTAAGATCATACGTAAAACATTTTGCATGCCTGTGAAATACCATTTGGAAACATCAACAAATATTCAACGTAAATTTGAAAAGGTGGACCTTGCTACCTTAACAACACCCAGTGGAATAGAAAAGCATCATTAAAAAGGAAATATAGAATGTTTATTTAAAAAAGTTTCCATTACACAGCAAATGATCCTAAATCAGATCTCAAAGTGTTTTACAAACAGTAATGTAGTATGCCTCAGGCAGAATTACAATCCCAAACTTGCTCTTACCCACTGATAAAGAATTCAAACAGATTACAGCACATATTCACTACTTCAAAATGCTACTAACAGTAGGAGAGCAAAACACTAAAATTTGGAATTATGTGAACACTATTCTAAAACACCTTGGCAATAAAAAGCAATTGGCCAAAACTTACTACAGACACAAAAGTGATACAACATGTTCTGCTGCCAGGTCACCCTGGGTCAGAATAAGATGAAAAAACAAGAAAACAACTTTGAAAGAATGATTAAAAGATGTTAATTATGACTGGTGTTAACAGTCAGAAACTTGCTAGTAGGAATATTTCTTCCCTTCTCTATCCCCAGTAAGGAAATATGAGTTTCTAACACACTTTAGGAAGAGTTCATCTGACAGGCACACTATACTCACAGCAATAACAATGCAAAATTATACCTCTCACTCCAACAATCTAGTGTAGTCCAAGCTCCTGACTGAAATGTCTCACAAACAGCTATATAAGAACACACTGTCAAGATACAACAGAAACTGCTCCACAGTTGAGCCTTTACATAAGAAAGCCAGCAAACAAAAATCAAACCCCAAAGACTAAGATTTTTTAGAACAGTCTGATTCCATATGGCTCAGCCATAAACTAACAGCAGGTCTGTTCAAAAATTCCAAGTAATACAGTGGGTTTAAATGAGCTCACACCTTCCCCCCACTTCCCCCAAATAATCATGGAGAGCAAAGTAGAACATGAATCTTTAGCTATATCAACAAATTCAGAAAAGAAATCAGTAACAGGTATCTCTCTCAAAATAAATCTTACAGGCAATCAGAAAAAGAAAAAAGAAAAAAAAAAAAAAAAAGACTTTGAAAACCATCTTTTCTTCTTCCTCAACTCTGAAATTGTCATAGAATCATAGAACCATAGAATGGTTAGGGTTGGAAAGGACCTTAAGATCATCTAGTTCCAAACCCCCTGCCATGAGCAGGGACGCCACACACTAAACTATGTCGCCCAAGGCTCTGTCCAGCCTGGCCTTGAACACCTGAAGAGTTGGAGCATTCACAACTTCCTTGGGCAACCTATTCCAGTGCCTCACATCATAAATAAGATGCAAATGCTATGTTCCTGAGCTTCATAAAATCCATTCCAAGTCCTGGCAATAAAATGCCCTACTGCAAGACAGAAAAGCCTGGATTGCTTCAGAGGCCACTTCCTTTTTACTTCAGGGCTCAGACGCATACAAATTACTCCAAATAGAAGGTGATTTATATTTGTTATGAACAGAGCATACAATTACCGCAGATGCATACTATAGCAGTCTCATGGCAACTTGTCACCACACAGTAGGTCTTCCATCTATCTGGGTCTTTAGACATTACCAGGGAGTATCTCTGCAAAAGGACAGTACCTTCCTATTCAACAGACAGGAATGGGAGGAAAAGTCTCTAAGGAGCTAGATGATCTTAAGATCCTTTCCAACCCTAACTGCTCTATGATTTCATGATCACAAGATACTTGAATATTTATCATAGTAGTAGTCACATATGCTATTAAAAAATTAAGCCTCTTCCTGTTGTTTCAGCATTTTGCCTTGCATTGAAGAACAGTGAATAGGAAATTGTTTCACCAGTTTGAGTATTTTTAAGACTACCAGATCAACTTCTACTGTGTCTGAGCCATGTACAAATAAAATAGAATCTATACAAACAAAATAAGTATTTCTTTATCCTTTCCTGCCTAACATCTTAAAAACAGTGCTCAAAAGGAAGTGGTTTCCGTATTTTTTTTTTTAAGGCTAGCCTTAATGCTGGAAGTAATAAAAAATAAAGAATTTATAAAAATGTGTTAAAAATTTAAACAAGTTTATTGTAAGCTAGATTTAAAAAATCAAATTTAGTCTTAGAATTATTTTAAGCAGTGTTCAGGGGAGCCATTGCTGAAGACTTTAAGACTTGTCATGGCTTAAAACAAAAACAAAAAAAAAAAAAAAAAAAGCAGCAGCAAGCTAAAATACATCAAATCCTTTAAGAAGTTTCATTCATTTCCACAGGACCAGAGTTCTTTGTATTGTATAGTAAAACAGGTTAAATAATTTAAGTAATACTGCTCTAACAATGTTTCTCCATTATACTAACTTACAACTGGTCTTGCAGTTCCACAATTATATATTCCAGCTGTTCCTTCTCCATTTTATGGGCTAGATCCATATCTTCAATTCTTTGTAACAGCAGTTTATTCTGTGAGACAGATTCAGATAGCTGGTTTTCTCTGAGTCGTACCAATTCTTCAAGGTAACCCTGGAAATAAAAGTGTTAGAAAGCTTTAAGGAACACACTATCAAAAAACCTTTTCATTATGTACGTTCACATTTTTCTGGTTCAAGATGTACACAGTTCTACTTTGTTTTTGTTGTAGATTGTTTGGGGTTTTTTTAATCTTTACACAGACTAATAAATTGACTGAATGTTAGTATGATGTTTCCAAATAGGTACCAAGAAAATCATGTACTTATTTATATTGCTGCAGAGGAATAGAATAATGGATGGAACAATGACACCGGAATGCCACCAGCCTGAAATACTAATTCAATTTTCGAAACCAACATAGAACAGTCAATAGTACAAGAAAAAGACCAGAACTGTTTGTCTTAACAGATACAGGATGTTAGATAGTGCCTAAGAAGGACAAAAGTAGAATGCACCTATATGGATCTGTATAGTTAATGAAAGGGATCCAGAATTATTATTACAAAATATCCAACGTTATTTTGAAATTTCTTTGAAAGCTGCAATACCACATCACACATATACATGACAAAGAAGGTTAATGAAATAAATACTCATCTACAGCTGGTACTATAAAAGATAGAGGGCAGTTCTTATCACACTCCAACTACTTTGTCTTTTACAAAAATCCACGATGTGAGTATTTTAACAGCAGCTGTGATGGCACACTGGTCACAAAGTCTGTCCACAGATTACACTTCTGATTACAATACTAAGCAGCTATTTCTATTTCTTGTTCAAGTAGAGTCCCAGGACATCAGATGCTAGTGACTTCTTAATCAATTCTTAGTCAAGGCCAGGTTGGACAGAGCCTTGGGCAACATAGTTTAGTTTGGGTTGTCCCTGCTCATGGCAGGGGTGTTTGGACCTAGATGATCTTAAGGTCCTTTCCAACCCTAACTGTTCAATGATTAAACCTGGATACAGAAAGTCTATACTGCATAAAATTTTGGAAATTCCTTGAAGCCTGTGGAAAAAAAATGCAATTCTTTCATAGGTGCCCATATTAAAAAAAAAAAAAAAAAAAAAAAATTAAAAAGGTAGTTTTCATAGACACAGAACAGGTGTAGTCCTGTTGAATAAGAACACAGGTTTCACTCAGCTAGCAGCAAAATGCTACTAATCTAATTTATCACCACGAAGACTATTAAGGGTATGGAGCATCTCTCATATGGGAGAAGGCAGAAAGAGTTGGGATTACTAAATCCAGGGCTGGTAAGAAGGGAAGAGGGGCAGGAAGAGAATCATATCAAAATGTATCGATTTTTAGTGGGAGGGTGTAAAGAGGATGGAGTAAGAATCTTCTCAGTGGTATCCCGTGAAAAGAGGCAGCAGACACAAATTGAGATACAGGCAACTATTTAAACGTAGGAAAAAAAACCTTCAAGACATTCACAGCCCAACTGAACAAGGCCCCAAGCAACCTACTCTAGTATACATTTTTTTTTTGAGCAGTGGATTTGGACTAGATAACCTCCAGAGGTGGCATCCGACCACGACTATTCTGTGATTCTATGATTACATACAGTTCTATCCACTGGATATATTCATATTTGATAGGAATTTATTTTAGTCTCAGTACAAGTTCCAAGGAATCTAGAGAGCTTTTCAGTATGCTCAATTCTGCCTGTCAAATGTTACCATTATCTTTACTGTTAAGGTACTCCTTGGAGCTCCAAGTAGTGCTTTAAAAGTACTAAATGATGCATTCAGGCACCAACAAATTTCATGCTTCCCAGAAATCTCAAATATTTTACAAAAATATTGTAGATACGAAGCATCAGGATCAGAAACAGAATACAATCAAACAGTAAATACCTCTACAATACATGGAGATGCACCATCCCACCAGTAAAAGCATGTAAAACTCCAGTATAAACAGTACACAAAAAACGTAGAAGCTTACTACATAAAAGTGAACAGTTTACACCATTCCAAAATAGGGAAGGGACCATTTCCACAGAAGTAACAAATATGTAAACTATGATTCATTAATCTGGACAAGAGACAACTTGAAAAGACAAACTCATCATAGTTCCAGAGTGGCCTGAAGAAGGCAGGAAGGAAGTGACTGTTCATCGTTTTTTAAAATGCAAGAGCTAGGCACCATGAAATGAAGCCAGGAGGAGCCAGATTCAAGAGACAGAAAAGGAGGGTGATTTTTCACACAACAGATGGTAGATGTGCAGAATGCTTTGCCAAAAAAATGGCTTGGATGCTAAAAATTTACATGGGGTCAAGGGGATATTTGGCAAGTCTTTAGAAGAGAAATCCATTACAGGTTACTAAACAGACAAACCTTATCAGCTTCAGGAAGTCCTTCAGCTGACATGCATTGGCAAGAAATGCAAGAGGAAAACAAGTGCATATACATTTGCTTTGCTTTTATTCTACCCTCCACATCTACTTTGGGCAACTACCCAAGTTAAGATAGTAGGGTAACCAAAGATTCTTGGTCTAAACCAGCATAGCACTGTTGATCCAATAAAGCAATGCTACCATTTACCTTGCTAAAATAATGCCTGACTTTATCCTACCATTCAAATAACTCAGAAAATACAGATAACTTAGTCTTAGCTGCAGTCCAATTGCTTGTCATATTGTAACCCTGGTAAACAGCAGTGACCTGAGCTATTAATGACTAGTATACATACTTAATTAGGAGGCACAAAAGGAATTTAGCATTGTTTGTGCAAAGTGAATGACAATAGAGAAAAAGAAGGATCTGTCAGACTCACTATATCAGTTGCTAAAAATACATGATTTTCAACTTGGTCTTCTTGTCACAATGGTCCAGTTTTCCAACACACAAAATGTCAGAAAGCCGCACTGTCTCAAAGAAAGCACTCTGTCTCTGATAAACTACTACGTACTGTACTGTGTGCAACTTGATTGTCATTGTAACTCATTGACATGAAAAAAGTCCCAAAAAGGGAAGGAGAGAAACACACAGGAAAGGAGCAATATTCCATAGTCTGTCTAAGCTCTTAATGGTCATTTGGTCAAGATATAATAGAACAGATGCAGTATAATTGAAGTGAATTACATTAAAATTTGTCAGGCACATCCCAAATGAAAATTAGACAATAGAAAATTTTCTGTCTGTGGGAATAAAAAAGTTATTCTGCTGCTGCAGTTGTCAAGTAGGCATTCTAAAAAAGCATGATTAGGAAAGCATCAAGAGCTGTCAGAGTAGCTATCATTTTGAAAATTGTATTAAATGCACCAAAGTTTTCAAAGAATTATCCTAAAACTGACTTGAATTCACCTCTACATTAGCTGACTATAGAAGTTGGTAGTTAATTAAGAGAATGCTACAAGAAATAATGTGACTCACTAAAATAAATTCAAAAACTTAAAATACTCAGCATCAGATCAGCAAATAACTTCTCATGGAATAAATATGTTTCAGGATTTTAGACGTGTGAATAAACCAAAACCTCTATTTGCTGTTAGAGCCACTTTGTGCTTTTGCAGATAGAAAGCTTCCTAGTGATTCTAGCTAGTGGATTTGGACACCATGTTTAAGTACTGTTTCTACAGATGTCTGTCACAACTTTGAAGGGGTATCCTTGGAAGTGAACCACCTGGATGTACCAAGAAAAATAAACGTCCACCTATTTTGTTCTCTTCGATACTTCTCCAGGACTGATGACACTTTCCTCATTAAACCCCAAAATATTTTACAGTCTTTGGCTGGGTGAGGGTGGAGAAGAACGGAGTTCAAACCAATCCTATGCTTTTGTCTGGACACAAGAATGAAATTGTCTTGAATATGTTCCCGTGCCTCAGGAACATGAATCTATTCCTGTTGGGGTAGGGAGGGAAAGGTTCCCATTTTGCTTATGTATTTGAAGAGGTTCCTTTTTAATGGCACATTTTGGTTTACAAAAGCAGGCAAAATGTCCTCTGTATCAGAGACAGCCCCAAGGAACACAAGTTCTTTCCACATGGAAAGTGATACCCTACTCGCTGAGAAGATTGTACCAGCAACCTGGCTGTCAACACTGAAGGTCAGATTTCAAAAACAAGGAGTCTAGGAGACCCAAAACAGGAAAGAAGTAATTGTGTGCATATTTGTAAAACATAGCTCTCGCATCTATCATCTCATATTTTGAATTTTTCACTGTTACTTAGAAAAACTTTAACGAGGTTCTATCACATGCATTAAAGTAAACCAAGCTTGATTCTATGCATTCCATATTAACACTGACATTCAGCAATCCATATGAATCATAATTCCAGGACTCATTCTCAGGTATAGTCTCTCAGTCTGGCTGTATTTCTTTAAAAACATTAAGCATCTGTCTTTCATTTTTCTTTCATTTTTTTCTGACCCCTTCTTTCTTTTTCTTCGCACTATTTCTTCAGTGTCTATGAACAGCCTTTCCTCTTCTCTCTGCCTCTAGCTAATACGCATTGTTGTCTGTAGCTGTAATATGCTCTTATGAAAAACTGAGAAGCACTTTGCTTTTAAAAATACTAAACGTTTAGACATATATTTCAGTTCACCCTTTAACTTGCACTGTTTTGGGTGGTAGAGGGACAATCTATCTTTGATTTCTGTAAGAACATTCAATATACTACTTAAATTATTAAAATCAAACACACTTTTTTCTTTCCCATTCTAACTCGAAGCAGGTCTTAAAACTATATATTTTCTAAAAACCCATTTCAGTATCACTGAGAAGATGAGTTTTGCTTTTCACTTCTAGATGGATTACTTTGCTGATCATTTTTGTTTACCACAAGGCTAAACAATAAAGTTTAACATCACTATTGTTATAAAAGCCTTCAGCTGGTAGTCTACTGACATCAGTAAAACTCTATGGTCTCTAAGGAAGAGAAAAATCATGTGGAAACTCTTGTTCACCTCAAGCTCACAATTTAACAGATTCAAAGATAATGCTGCTTGTAACTCTCAGATTGGAAAAAGGAGCCAAAGCTTCTACATTAGATTGTGAAATCCAATATCCATATTATTATTATCTTCACCTCTCCCCAAACCTCTTTTCCCTCAAATCAGTGAGCAAAGATACTTAAGATACTTTGAAGATTGTAAATTTTAAGACCACTTACATGAAGGTAAATAATACTTAATATATTTTTCTGCCTTCGCTTAAATGGTTATGTCACCAGTTGGCTGGTGATGAGCTTTGGCTCCATCACCCCCCTGACAAAACTAATCTTTTACCTTCTGTTCCAATGCAAGCCGGTACTTCTGTTCTACCCTTTTGCATTTGTTGTACCAACTGTTTTCATCCGTGATGAAAGGAGGACCAATGTTCTCTGGAGTACTGCCTTCACTGCCGCTACTGCCCAGTGTTCTTAGCTCTTCTTCATCACTGCTGATGCTGTCAGAACTGAAGGATCGTATTAATCAGCCAAGTGAAAAGCTGTGTTTGTTAAGATGCAAATTCCCCTTGAAATTTAAAGCACCATAGTTATTAAATACATCTAAAGCTCTGTAAACCAAAAAGAAACAAAATGTTGGGATAGATCACTAAACGCAAGTTATATTTCAAGCTTCTATCTGTATAGCCACCTAAAGAATGGGCAAAAATTTGCTTGAGATCTTAGACAAGTTGTCTTAGGCAAGACAGACAAGTGCATATAGTATACTCTCCTGGAATACAAGGGGCCAATGCATTCCAATATGCTGTCTAAGGAAGGGGTGACTTAATTTTTCCTTCATAAATTCAGGGTGAAAGAGTAGTATCTGAATCTACATGTTGTTTGTTTCTAAAAAAGCAGAAAAATAAAAAAGTGACTGTTATGTTAAATTATGATAAATTTAAATGAAAATGTATAGTTGTGGTTACAGTGAAGACCGCGTGCATGTTATTTCACAGAACATGAGTAACTCTCCATACAGTATGCAAATTCACTGTTAAAATATCTCCATATCATCCAGAATCAATGTATGCCAGAAAATTCAGACATCTGTCTCAAATACAAGAATTTACCCCAATACCAATTTTAAAATCTTTCCTTACAACTATGCTTTCCACTACATTAACAGCATTTACTAGCTTTTAAGGTAGTGATTCCTAGAACTCTATGATCCTGCCATGATGCAAATTCTGTTTTGACTGAATCATGCAATTTGTCATTAACATGTAAGCTAATAAGAACTTCAAGAGAATAACTAGGATGTTTCATGTTCACTTGTACATCTCCAAGACTTACTTCTCAGTCTCAACTGCTTCCTTCATTTTGGCAAAACTAACAATAGAACACGTCCCATTAATTTCCATGCTTTTTTGAGATACCAGATTGCTACCTGATCTGTTAGATAGTGATCACTTCTTTAACTTTTAATCATATAACTGATCAGAGGAGCAAAATGTAGCTAGAAGGTCAGATTATATACGCAACTGGTCATTATTTTCTGTTATGTGCTAACTGCTCATACTGCTTACCTGTCATATCTTACAATTTACGAGGACACATATTATTTTTATTTACAAAATAGCTACTTTCAGGTTTGTGGCTACACAGAAAAGGACCAAGACAAAGGACAACTTGGTCTGGAGATCTGCAAAGGAAATTAAAAAAATTGTTTCCTTGTGAACTGTGATAATAATCCAAGTAAACAAAGTCAGCATGACTCACTGTGATGAGTCATGTAATAATTCTACCAGTCTGAAAGAGCAAGGTAGCTGAGTGTACAGGTTTGTATTTAGAGATGGATATTATTTTGAATGTGAAAAGTATGAGGCCCAGTATGAAGTATAAATTTGCTAATGAAATAAAATTAAAAAGTGCAAAGATAAGAAGTACCTTTGGGTGAACTTCAAGTATGGTGTATAATCTATGACAGCTGGAAAGCTGCCATCCAATCCCTCACCCTTCAGGCAAAAACTGATAAAACAGAGAAAAAACAGTAAGATTATAACAAGAGAATTAAGACAGTGACAGTTGAATCTTACCAATGTGAAATTTGATTTTTCTTACATTTTTGGTAATAATAAAGGCCTAAAACATATAATACTGAAATCCTACTCAACCGAACTAGACTGTTAAATATTTAGTGAGTCACTGAGCATATTATAGCATAATGAAAACCCCAAGAAACAGAAATTCCACATGATCAGGAAATAGATCAGGGCAAGTGGTAAAACCTCTAATTTTTAGTTACTCACTTTTATTCTGAAACTACAGACGGATTGCAGGGAATAACAGGAAAAGGAAAGTTAGCCAGAGCAAGAGAAAGAGAAGAGCTATGGATGAGAGTGGAATCTTCAGTATTTAAGCTCATTAAAAGAGTTTGCAGAGTCCTTACATAACCATCCTACTAACTTTAAGTCAAAAATCAGTTCTCAAAAATATTTCAGTCTTTCTCCTTTCAGATACTTCCTGGTGTGGGGCTGCAGGAAGATGAAGGACATTAATGAAACTAACTTTCAGAAAATGTTCTGAAATGGCTCTCATCTACTCTGTATTCTTTTTCTACTCGATATAAAAGATTGTATGTGAACCATGTTCTATGATCACAGAAGTGACAAAAATCAATCTTGCTTCCACAAGGCTCACATTCCTCGCTCCTTCCATATGTCATCAAAAACCAGATTCTAGTAAGACATGGCTTTTGCTACTTTCGCTAACTTCATTGCAAAGTGCCGTTTTTTACAATGCAGTCACTTAAGTGGTATTTGGAAAGTACATATGTAGGGTTTGGGGTTTTTTTTACCCTTAAGAATAGAAAAGCAAAGAAAACAAGAAAAAACACCCCTGCAAAACCACAATTAGTTTAAGCAGACACATAATTCCACATTGCTGGGGGGGTGTGGTGTGGGAAACGGGGTGGAATAATCTAGATTCTGTTCTCAACTGGGTTTCCCGAATCTCCAACCCGAAGTCGTATGTATAGTTCCACATAGATAAACCTGTCAACATTTATAAGAGACTGTTTGAACTGACAAAAAAAAAAATCTCTAATATAACAAGCAAAGAATGGCTACAGTTTCTCAGCCATTCGAACCACAACACTATGAATTATATGGGGCACAATAAAAATGCATCTGTAGCACTATGTTCCTATTTTGCCCAGAAAATTTCTAGGCTCTTAAATGCAGCATTGACAAAAACTTAAATGTCTCCAGAAGAACGTATAAATATGCTTATATTAGAAATCAGAGGACAAAGGAAGAACAAGCACGCTTGTACAAATCAGCTCTTATACTGGTAGTATGTACCACTGAGGCTTATGGGATACAAACACAATCAATTGATGCTTATTTACGGAAGGACTTCCACACTGCAAACTTACTCTTGCTATGCTGCTTATTTCTGTATAGCTATAGTTCTTCCAAGTGTAGTACTAATAGAGAAGCAGTTTAATTTCACATAGTGTAAAGCTTAAACTAATAAAAAAATCTTGTAAGATTTGAATTTGCTGTACACAAGGCTAACTCTCTTATCATCCAGCAACACTATTTTGTTCCCTCAGAACATAGTTGATGTTATTAAACCAATCTAGTGACTAAATGCTGGCAAAAGAAGCTATCCTATGTTTTCAACCTCTCCCTCCACATTTGTTCTTTTCCTGTCTTTTTTTTTTAATTAAATCCCAACCAGACATTCCCTTTCCACTCCTTACAGTGGTATTGGCACTTATCTGACTCTGTGATGAGCTAGTTCAGCCATCATGACCTGAATTTCTAGGAGTTTTTTTTCCCCCTTCAGCTTCCAGTTGCAGTTCCACAGGCGAATGAACTAAATGCTCAGTGCCACCAGTAAGGTAAGACATTACTCAATCCCTTTAATTCTTTTTCTTCTCTAATCCTTACGATCAAATCATCTCTGCCACTTACAGGATGCTTCCATGAACCAAACTAGCTAACAGCAAAAGAACTATCCTGTCTTCTTATTAGGGGTTGGTTTTTTTTCCACTCTTTAATAAGTTAACTTGACCCACAGAAGAGTCCAACAAGCCTCAAAACTGGTACATAAACAACAGTAAATCTCCAAAGGCCTTTTGGCAACACTCAGTGCATCCACTGAGACTGTGCTGTTTTCTGCCAGTTTATCTCCTAAACTGGTTTGTGACAAGTATTAATGCTGCTGCAGTGTAAATTTTAACAGCGTATTGTCAGGAGACTGGAGAAAAACATTATTATTCTCCTTTTTCCTATGCTCTATTACAAAACCCTTCCCCAGTGACTTTGTATGAGGCTAACTCGACCCAACCAGGCATATTAACAGGGCCTTGCACCATCTTTTCATAGGCACTGTAGAGTTTATACCTTGCTGTTTTTTTTATATATATTATATATGTGTGTGTATACACACACACACACACCAAAATGTTTTTTTTTATATTATCTAGGGTGTGTTTGTACCTTCATTACCCCAAAACACAGAATTAATTGTGTAACAAAACACACAAAAGTCTAGCTAGAGATCGCACAGGTAAATTCATGTAATCTTACAATATTTTGCAGTTAATTATAACACATTTTAGTATTAAATGGTCATTTGTAGGTTAAGCTTTTAAAATGTAGAAGCGCTAAAGATACCTATACCTTCTACATATGCAGTTACAATGTTGTCATAGAGTACCAGAGCATAACTGTGTACTTAATCCTTTAAAAGATTCAACTACCTGTAAACTTAATAGGTTTGATGTATCTTCAGCAATTATACTCTCAATTGCTTTTAGAATTTTGATACCTGCAAGACTGTGTAATCATGCAGATATATAAACTATGGTATAGTTTTGCTCTTACCTAGAAGAGACATTCAAGATCTCTTTTCTCTATCCCTCCCTCTCCTTCCTGCACCTAAGTTTTGCCCCTCAGGCTATCAAGGAAATCTATCAATGTTTTCCATAATGCATCCATTTTCTTTTGAAAAAGAAAAAGTACTTTCCCTGAGCATTATGTTATGAAGCATGCAAATATAATACCTAAAATCAATTGCATTGAGTCCCAACAGCATACCAGCAAGCATATTTGCTTCTTCACCAAGAACAATTGCTCCATCCTCATAAAATCTCCTTCAATAAAAAAGAAATTAGTTCAGTTAACACCATTTTCTCTCAAATAATGTTTTTCATAGTTAACAGAAAAATGAAGAAATTCAGTTAAATAAAAAAACCTCATGTGAACCCCAGAGGGATTGATATTTCATTTCAAATAAAGGAAACCAATAGACTACACAGCACAAAACACCACAATCTTAGAGCACATAAAAATTTAGACAAAAGCAAAAAGAATTTACAGTATTAGCTCTAAGAAATGGACAAAATGCAAAGAAAGTGATGAAGACATACTTTATTGCTGAAAGGAAGAATTTACATCATAGAAATGAAGAATTTTTGTCATATGTATATATATAAAAAAATTCCATCATATAAAAAAAAAGTTTCTCACAATTGTACTTGCAGGCTCTTTAAATGTTCAAAAATCACTCTTTATTCTCAGAAAATATTTTTACAAATCAGCTATTTTCCAGGTAGCATACTTGTTCTACTGCATGGTTGGGGGATTCATGTTACATCCAGTTATTCTGAGATGTAAAATTTTCATTATTTGAAGGAGGAGTGTTTCTTAGCACCATTTTTTATTGCAAAGCAGCTACTGGCCAAAGTTTTAAAACTCCATGCATTGATCTCAAAATACATTTCAAATACCCTGGTACATGCAGACTGGTGAAGGCTGCTTGAGAACAGTGACCAACCAACAAAGAAACCATTTTTAAATCTGTATTCCCTCACCACCTCTTCATTCTCCCCCATTTATTCTCATTTTCTCCTTCTAGCTACCACAGAAGCTACTTCCAGACAGAACTGCTCCATGCACAGGACATAGGTGAACAGGACACACCACTGCCATGCATGGACTTGTAAAAAGGTATTTGGTCTGTTTAGCAAAGTAGCACACAACTAATTTCTATGTTAAAGGAGTCTTGGCAGCAGCAGAGACAGAAAGGTCACTAAAATTCACCTGAGCATCACATGTGGAAAGAGGGAAATGAAAAGCTGTTCTGTACAAACTGCAAGGTTGAAAGGTCACTTACCAGAAACCAAGATACACAGTCCACCTATACATTCTAGCCATGTATGATTGCAAGAAGGTGCCAGATTACCGAAGGCAATCCATCTTTCAAATACCAGCAACAATGCCCTACCAAAAGCTCCATCTGTTTCAAGAACTGCATGTAAGCATTGGGATGGCTTAGTAAGAGCTTGAGTTGGCTGCATGGCAAACATCCAGAAAAGACACATTTTGGGGCACAGCTCCAAAGACTGAACTGTGCACACCATCAGAAGTCCCACTTTTGCAGTTTCATAACAGACATCCATTTGCTGTAAGGAAGTGAGCTGTCTTAGACCTTGGATGTTCTCAGCAGAAGCAAGAAACCTGGATAACTTCCTCTGGGAAGACAGAGATTATAGTCCTGACGTAGAGACTATGATGTACAGGCTCAACTCTCTATTCTCCAAGTTCAGGAAGGGGACCAGGAGGTTAAACTGGCTGAGCCAGTATTTCTGACTTGGAAATACTGAGCTAGATGGACTTTACAGTCTGATTCAGTATAGTTACTCATGATCTAAGAGCAATGCTCCCAGTAGAAGCTGATTGCAAACTATTTCACTAGCATTTGTCAAATAACTGCTAGGTACCAATCTGCATGGTGTTCAGTTTAACTTGTAAAATGGTGCTGAGGAAGTTACCACGCAAAAAAGACAAGACATTATTTGTAACAGTGAGATGCAGATGTGTTTCTTAAACCAGCTTGAGTAACCCAGCTGAAACAACAGTCCCCTTGGAAAACTCACATATTTTCTTTCAGGGATATGCAGTTGACATCTCACAACAGTCTAAGTTAAGCGCCGGTGCTGAGCAATTTTTTAGAAAAATAACTGTGTGCCCATGCTTAATCCAACTCCCTTCCCAGTGTAATACACAGCTTCAGCACTAATAATGTGCTGCTTCATTAAAGGACTAGCCATAAGATCAGGCACCTAAACACAACAGCTAGGTTTAAGAAGAGCTAGCAGTGCGATAGATCAATCTCATAGTCTACATACACACGTGTAACATTTATAGTTTATATAAATAATTATTAAACACACATATAGCAAAATACATAATTTAAAATGCTAAATAAATGGTGCAAAGCATGAAAAGAATCCAGCCACTTTTTAGGCATCCAAAATCCCACACAAGAGAGTGTGTTCATTATTGCTAGTGGATTTGAAATCCACCATACCAAGATCTGAAGCTGTAACTTCTATTTCCATTAGATGTATTTAAAATATTACTTCAAAACAAACTTTGCACTTACTATGTTTGCAATGCAAGAGGGGTTGTTTCCAAAAACTATACCACTGAAAGAACATTCAAATATATTAAAAATCAACATGTTCAAATAAATGAACTTGAAACTGCTAATAAAATAATACCACTGTTATCCACTAGCAAACAAACCACACTACCAAACAGGGACAAAGAATGTACTACTTAACTACACAAGTTTGTGACCCTCCTCTTCCTCCTCATCTCCCCCTCAAAAACCCAAGTGACTTCTCAGTTTGAGGCAACATGAGTAAATCTTTTCCAGAAATCTTTGTTTTATGAGCTTCTTGTCTACTGTAAATGCAAACAAATCTGAGTAAAATAAAGATTATAGGTCTGGAAACTTCAATAAAATGTGATGTTTACCTAGTTGTGCTTCAAAGTCACCTTAATATTGGCAACATATATGGAGATCTGTGGACAAATAGTATTAGAAACAGAAATAATATTCTAAATGAACAGAAGTCCTTACAGAGAAAACTCTTACTGTTCAAAAAGCCCATTCATTCGGTATGTCAACTTTTAGAGGTCAACATCAGGTACGATAACATGTTATGGACTCACTCATATTTAAATGACTTCATCATAAATCTACAAGACACACTCGTTGCAGGATAAAGCATCCTATATTAATCGCATTATTTAAAACCAGTTCGAAACTGGCAGACTATTTTCTATCACAATGCATATTCTTGTACCTAACAGCTTTTACCATTAGAAGGTAAAAATAAATAAAATGTGTTACAGATTTTTCATATTACAATAAGTATCCCTATGCTACGCCTGATCACTAATTCTGTTCTATGTCTCTCAACAGGTTCATGGAATTATTTTCCTTTCTTCTTCAAGAAATGTTCCTATAAAAATTCTATCTTATTGAGTCTCTAGGGTTTTCTGTCAACCATACCTAATTTTGAAAGGAACATTACATTTTCCTATCTTTATCACACTACAATTTCAGAATCAGTTCCTTCTTTAAAGAAGTTTTCTTCTCTTTTGGCTTTCAAGAATTCCAGACTTTTTTCCCCACATTTTTAAAATCACAAAGAGATTTTTAATTTTGCAGTTTTACCCATGCTAAAATCCAGTCAGTTAACACCAACTCTAGATATTTTTACAATGTTACAGCTCTTTTACTGGTGACACCCTTTCCTATACAAATCAAGTGGAACATTCACTTCCAAACCCAAGTCCTCCACTTACGCAACATTTGCTAAAATATTGCAAAAATAGAAGTCTTAGAGACCTGGTTGTTTTGAAGTCTCTCAGAGCTGTGGAAATGTATTCAGACAAATGCTTTTCCATAAGTGCTACTCTGATCCAGGCTCGACCCTGCAAGAAGAAACAGATATCAAGTATCTAAGTATTATAGAACAAGACAATTTTCCATCTGAAAATTAATACAGTTGATTTACCAGGGTGAAATGAACTTTTTAACAAAATCACCACTAAACAGAAATAGTTGCTAAGATCTCCTTCATTACAGGTATAATGAAAAGAGAAAATGCATTCTTACAATTAAACTTTATTACCAAATAAAGTTATTAACAATTTAAAGGTGGGGGAAGGATATTGCTCTAATTATATACTCCAGTCTTTTTAAAGTCTCACATGCATAAGTGGTAGGAAAGGTAACACATCACGGCAAAAAGCTTTCAATTTTAAGGACAATGCTATTGGAAGCATCCAACTGGTTCCAACGTAAAGCATCAGTAAGTTACCCTCAAGGTGTTTTAAGAAAAAAAATAATTTTCTGTGTTCATTCAACTATTTGTGTGGTCAATACAATAAGAAATTACTTTTTCCCCCCCTCAGTAAGGGCATCATTACAGAAGTTGCACATGATATACAGGAATTAAATCTAATTTAAGAGGCCAAAAACTTGCAGTCCAAAAGTAAAACTTCATTCAAACAGTTCTATGAACAACTGCAATAGCTTCAAAGATAACCTTAGGAATGTGTGTTGCCCTGCATTTACAGGTCTACTGCACAGGATTGTAGTTTACAGGAAAGAGACATTTCAAATGGCTGCCATAATTATGATTGTCAGTTTAAGAACACCAGGAACATTTCTTCTAACCTGCATAAACTTAAAAATAGTTATATAAGTAATAAGATGTTTTTGTGCTTAATATATTTGGCCCTTACTGACATCTAGCTGAATATCACTACAGACATTGTACCAAAACCACCTGTAGATTATAATCCTACGTTAAATTTATATAGACCTAGATCAAACTAAACTTCTTATAAGATAGACAGATGCTAAATAACAGAAAAAAATCACTTTCATAAATACCAACAACACAGCAAAAACTTTAACAGAGTACACTACAATTAAAAGGATGTTTATCCGGACAGCTGCCTTTACATTGCAGTTACTTAGAACACAGAATCATAGAATTATTTGGGCTGTAAGGGACCTTAAAGACCATCTAGTTCCACGCCACCCCACCCCCTGCCATAGGCAGGGACAAAATCTACCAGACCCGGGTGGGTTGCTCAAAGAACCATCCAACCTGGCCTTGAACACTGCCAGGGATGGGGCAGCCACAGCTTCTCTGGGCAACCTGTGCCACTGCCTCAGCATCCTCACAGTAAAGAATTTCTTTCTTATATCTAATCTAAATCTCCCCTCTTTCAGTTTAAAGCCATTCCCCCTTGTCCTATCCTGACATGCCCTTGTAAAAAGTCCATCTCCAGATTTCCTGTAGGCCCCTTTAGGTAGTGGGAAGCTGCTCTAAGGTCTCCCCTGAGTCTTCTCTAGGTTGAACCACCCCAACTATCACAAGCCTGTTTTCACAAAAGAGCTGCTCCAGCCCTCTGATCATCTTCATGGCCCTTCTCTGGACTTGCTCAAGCAGGTTCACGTCCCTCTTGTGTTGGGGGCCCCAGAGCTGAAAGCAGAACTGCAGGTGGGGTCTCATGAGAGCGGAGTAGAAGGGAGAATCAAGTCCCTTGGCCTGCTTGACACACTTCTTTTGATGCAGCCCAGGACATGTCTGGCTTTCTGGGCTGCAAGCACACACTGCCAGGTTATGCTGAGCTTCTCAACCAACACCCTGAAGTCCTCCTCATGTCTGGTCTCAGCCTGTTCTCCCACCCAGCCTGTATTTGTGCTTGGGATTACTCCCACCCAGGGGCAGGACCTTGCACTTGGCCCTGTTGAACCTGATGAGGTTTGCATGAACTCATGTTTGCATGAACACGAGTGAAACAGTCAAACCCTGATGATTCTGTTTTGCTAATGACTAAAGCCTATGTAGCTCCAGCAAAAGCAAGGCTAGCTAGCCCTTACTAACAACTCCCATTTGGACCACCAGTAAAACTGATACATACCACTAGTATTTGTGCTGACATGTCTCCAACCTTTTCAGATACAGACATCCAAAATACTTCTGCACTCACCTCTAAAAATTCAACACTGGTCTCCACACTCACTGCACAAATTAGCTTCTTCGTTTACTATTTGGCATGGACTTTTCCACAGAGTAAAAGAAAATGTTAATTTATTTTTAAGAGTATTTCAGAAAATAGCTTTGCATTTTATTATCTGCTGAATTTAAATACTCATGTCTATTAAAATCTTGGAATTCAGAAATATCATTAAAATAAATCTTGAATATAATCAACACAATCATCACATGCTAGAACATAAGTCTCTCTAGAAAGTATTTGGAAATAAGTTCTCCAAATTATCTCAATTTCCAGATCTCAACATAAGCAAGAAAAGTTGCATGACTTAAATTATCAGTCTAATACTCTAGTACACTGAGTGCTAGGAAGAGCATGCAATATTCTGGATAGAAAAACCAGTCAATAAAATACAATAATAACATCAATACAATAAATACATCAATAGGAAAACCAGCTTTTTGCCATAGAATCTCAAGTGTTTGAAAGCCTTCATGCAGATTACATGGGTGTTTACTCTATAAAATTTAAAGCTGAGTCTATGCAAAAGAAGAAAGCAGCAACAGTAGACATAGAAAACAGGCTGCTCTGCAATACTATGGATCATTAGAACAGCTGTTCAAAGATTACTAGATTCATGGTGCTGCTTGATCATCTTTTATTGAAGAAAAGTGTGGTTGCATAAATACCTGTAATTTAAATTGTACTAAACACAGTCATGCCCCTGAAAAAAAACAAAAAAAAAAAACAAAAAAAACCCTACAAAGTTTTTGTTTATGACAAGGCAAATACTTCCACCTCACCAATGACACGAATTGTGAATAATCCAGAGTATAATAAATGTGGATGACTCTTAAAACAGCCATAGAACACAGTTTCTATACTTCTTCAAACAACTGATTCCAGTTCATTTAGGAATAACACAAATTAAGAACATTAATTTATGCATACTTTTATATTACTTATGCTTTCAAGTCAGAAGGTTCTCAGTTATCAGTCAAGACTTCTTTACACAAAAATATAAGCTACTGAAAAGTATTCCAATCTAGTAAAAAGAACTTGTAATCTCTGTTCAATAGTACTTTTTTTTTTTTTTTTTTTTTTTTTTTTTTTTTAAGATGTTTGTGTATGCTGTCTTGGACCATTAAGATTTAATGCTAGGTCAGTTTAAAGCTCATTCCTATTCAGTTCATATGCACATAAAGACATTAAATTGTTACTTCCTTAATGTTTCCATCATACTGACAATCACAAATTATGGTGTCATTTCTATACACATCCTTTAAAATGATGGATGCTAATTAGCAAATAAATCTATGAAAGGCTTCCTGCACAATCACACCAAACTCAAGAGTTGATAACACCTTTTTTATTAGTGCATAAATTATATACAAAATAAAATGACACTTAGGTTGGGGGGGGAACCACATTTCTACAATTTCAAAATAGTATTTGCAAGGCATTCCCACATGTACATAACATGTACATTCTGCATTTAAAAAAACAACATTCTGCATTTAAAAAAAATTACGTAAGTTCAAAAATGTGAAGGCAACAATTTTATAATACAACATGGTCGTTGAATAGAGAATTTGAAATTTATTCTACTGAATAATCAATTTAGAAGGAACACATTCAGATTTAAAAGTGTTTTTTTAAGAAGTATTTACTAGGTACATATAAAAAATAATTATTTCAAACAATGAAAAATTTTGTGAGGCAAGCTTAGTAATATGTTTTTCTTCTGGCTACAAAAATGTCAGCTATACTTTACACAGAACAATGTAATAAAAAAGTCAATTTGACCTTTCTCTTCCCTACCTTAGCTCTAGAAGAACCGACATTCTCCATGTTCTCAATACTGCAGATGCAATTGTGAGAGACTTTTCGGCAAGCTACTCGAATGTAGTCCCAGAAACTACGAGGACTTTCATAGCCGAACCAGGTGATCTGACCTTAAATCAAAATATAAGATATGTAAAGATTTATGAACCTCCCTCTCTGTTTACTGGAGATAAAAATCATTCAAATACTTCCCTATAGGTTGCTTGCACTGACAGGATTTTATGCTACCCACTGAAAATTGGCTTGCAGGTCTAAAAAAAAAAAAACTTGCATTACGCAGTTCATCCTGGTTTCAGACTGATGCAGAGAGAGCCATTTGGGGATTTTGTATACATATGTCTATTTTGTTGGGTTTTTCCTTGTTGGTATGCTATAATAATACTCAAGAGTCCTCCACAGACTCTTAACTCAAAAGAGAGTACACTGTCTTGTGACTTAAAAATAGGATACAAGAAGAATTTCTCTTACTTGTTTTAGGTAGAAGCATGTGTTTCATTAATACAATCAAATAAAGAGAATTTTTTTTTGTTCTTTTAAAATATATATATATATATGCCACTGTTTGCTGTGATAGTGTTATCTTCCTTTAGGAGGGGATTGGAATTTTTCAAAATGTGCTTTCATTGAAAGGGAAACTGATGCGTGATCAAAAATGTTTTGCAGTTACAATTTATTTGGAGTCCACACAGAACATTCCTTGGGAAACTGACCAAAATAAAATGAGCAAATCAACATATCTTCTGGACCTTTAACCAAAATCCTTCGATTTGTTTCCAGCTTGCAATGTATTGCAGGCTAGGAAATGGAAGGCAAAATTACATACTACTTGCGAACTCCACACACGAAAGGAATTTAATCACACACCCAACAGTTCAGCCCCGTTTTTCAGACTGAACAGCGTATCACTTTGAACAAGTACGTAAAAATTAAGATGAACATTGCCCTCTGGTGACTACCATTATTATGTATGTGCAAACCCTTTTCTCCATATAAAATGAAATCTAATTTTTAAGCTAATTTTATTTTATTGCAATTCTTGAGTTTTACTTTGAAGCTTTACTCATTTATCAGAAAGACTTCTAATTCTTCTGCTGTTAGAAAGCTCAAATTTCAAGAAAGAATATATTAGACTCATACTGCAAATTATACATACTGGAAAAAAATGCCAAAACATGATGACAAGAATATTTTTAGCTAGCATGACTTTTCTTAGTTTCAAACACAGCCAGAGTAGTGTCAAAGATCTGTCCCATATGACCTTAAGAAATTCAAGTGGTGGGTTCTTTTCCCCTAGAGGGTGCAAGTAACTTGACTTTGTGGTCCATCTCCTAACTATGTCACATGGATTTATTTGTTAAATTCAAAGTTTGATAAAAGACTTACAAAAAGTATCAGGAAGAATTAATATATACTACTCAATACACCAAATGAAAAATAAAATCCCAGTGTGCTTCAATTACAATAGATTCATATCTTCTCAATTCTAAGGACTAAAATGAAAGAATTTCTGCAAGGTAAGCAGTCTAACAAACAGACTACTTTTGTTGCAATGCCAAGCATAGCAGACAACAACAAAAATTCAACAGCATTTTAATAACACTAAAAGCTACAGATATTTTTCACATTCTTTCCATATTAGAAACATTTCCGCCCCAGGAATTATACCTGCAAAATTAAATGCAACTTAAGTGTGAAGATGACTTGGTGTCACCAATTCCAGTGCAAGCATATAAAGGCAAATAAAGGCAAGCACACCATACAATAACTTCTGTGGCTTTTTCAAACTATTTTAAGGACAGAGCATATGCAAAAAATGGACAGTTTTGCTCTATAGTTTTCTGAAGTCACTAGTTCAAGCAATTCCTTTTACAAATAAACACCTGAAAACCATGTTGTTTATAAATAAAAATACCTTTAAAACATTAATACATACCAGCACGCAGGATTTACTTGGATTACACTGATCAAAGTAGTTAGCTGGCCATAACTGCAACATACTGACATAATAGTTCTGTGAGAGGGTATGATGGGTTTCAGACTTCAGTAGGAATTGTCTTCTCTTGAAACTCTCAGCCAGCTCAGGACCTTTTGCGAACCAAGATCTCCAGATCTCACTATTTTCTCCCTACAATTTTAAACCTCGCCCACGCTCTAGTAATTAATGCCATCTGAAGAAAACCTTCCTTAATCATTCCATACACAGAGAAATGTTGGAGAAGACTGTTTGAGAATAGTGAGAATGTATTTTAAGAACTACTAAATAAGACAGCTTATATTATATACAAGGTATATATAATTATAT